TATCTATGGGCTTCCTTAGGCTTGTGCTTTACATTTGATCTCCAGAAGTTGATTTGAACAAGACCCATTTTACAGTGGAATGAACTGTCTAGACCAGGGGTGTCAAACTCGATTTCACTGAGGGCGCATCAGGATTGTGTTTGACCTCAGGATAGGGATGGGCATGGTCAGCTTGATGTCACTCGTGTCACGGGGTGTCTGTGGTGGTCCGAGTGCTTTGCCAGCAAAAACGGGCTCCCAATCTCCATTTTCAGCTGTGACAGCCTTCTGCAACCCTCTGCCAGAGAAAATGTTTTCACTGGCAGAAACATCATGGGCCGGTCCTTTGCTATTTCCAAGGTGGCCCCACAGGCCAGGTCTAAGCACCCCATGGGCTGGATTTGGCCTGCAGGCCTTGAGTTTGATACCCCTGGTCTAGACTCCAGAGCAGTGTTTCTCAGCATTGCTTAGCTGAAGATCTGTGGCCTTCAACTCCCAGAATTCTACCTACCAAAAGGGAGATGAAGTCCATACCTCTTCAGCTTGCCAAGGTGAAACACTGATCTAGAGAAAATATGTAAACATCTTTGTTAGAAGTTTTTTCCCCAAAGAAAAAATAGGCATGTTTTTAAGCACATGTTTCAGCTGTAGGGAAAGTTTTTAGGTCAGGCCATCCCTGGTCTTATGATTCTCTAAACAACATCACCCATCATTCCTGATCATTTGCCGTGCTGGTTTGGAACTGTGCGACTTTTGTCTCTAATCAGTCTAAAACATCACCAGACTCAGGAAGGATGACTGAACTATTGAACCCTTTTCAGTTCAAAAGAAAAGAAACTTGTGAGCTTTTCATGTTCATTTTATTTCTTGTTGAAATATTAGTTGTCCAAAAATGAATGTTCTATTTCTGTGTCAAATTAAAGGCAATCTAAGTGGATTTTGAATTGAACAGAATAAATACTAAGTCCAAGTAAAGTAAAGATCAGCATCTAGTGATTACATGAGATATTATGTTGATCTAATAGTGCCCAAGTTCGAAGGAGGCTTTGCTTTTTCAGGTTCAGGCAAGCGGGGTTGCATGCTTCCATCTGCTAGAGATAGATCATAAACTAAAATCCTATTGTAAATATGATAGGGCCACTCTTTCTCCCACTTTTTCTTCCTGGCACCCCACTCACACAATACAGGTAGTCCTCAACTTACAACCATTTGTTTAGTGATGATTGCAAAGTTGCAATACTGAAAAATGCTTTTATGACTGGTCCTCACACTTATGACCATTGCAGCATAATCACCTGATCAAAATTTGGGAACTTGGCAACCAGCATGCATTTATAATGGCTGCAGCATCCCAAAGTCCTATGATTACTATTTGTGACAGCTGGCTTACAATAATTAAGTAATGGGAGAAGTGGGATTCTCTTAATGGCCATGTGTGATTCACTTAATAACGGCAGTGATTTGCTTAACAACTATAGTAAAAAAAAGATCTTAAAGTGGACAAAACTCACTTGACCGCTTTGCTTAAACAATGGAAATTCTACCCCAATTGTGGTTGGAAGTTGAGGATTCCCTGTAATTCCATATGAGATTCAAACCTTTGGATTTTTTTTCTTCATAAGCAGTACGGTCCCATCACAGTATGAAGTATTGCTGTTTTATTTTTTAGTTCCATCGAAAACTGCAACCTGCCCTATTACTGACAGCTGCACTTCTGAAATTCAAAAGCAGCTAAAGATAGACACCTGCAGACATTGAGTTGCCCATCTGTGTTTATGGTATTGGAAGAATTTAAAGAACAATAAAGACAGGCAACATGACAGGGAATATCCATCAGCTGTATACCTTTTTTATTATCAGAACTGGCTGCTTCTGAAAACAGAATGGCAGATTTGCTGGATTCATAAAGACGATGTTATTTAAACTGAATAACAGGAATCAGCTGCTGTGAAGAGACTGCTATCTTTGTGCAGCAGTGTCTAACATATTTGTCATAACTACCATGATCTTGAGGGGTGAACAGAGAAAAAATTATCTGTATTTTGCAGAAATCTGAATAGTGTTATGATAGCTTTCAGCAGACAGTGAAACAGGTTCATGAAGAATGACTCAGTTTGTAGCTTTCCGTGACCTGCTTTTGAACTTCCCCAAAGAACCTGGTTGTCACTGAGACATTGGATGCTGACCGACCTTGGCCTGTTGTGACAGAAAGAGTTATTTCTCTTATGTTAAAATAATGAGATAAATGGAACAGCCCTTTAGGCCTTCATTCACAAATCTTTGTGTTGATTAGAAAGGTGACTTGGCCATGAGCATCAGTGGTCAAGGGATTAAATCTGCTGTTTTTAATGCCTCATACATATTGAATTCCTCCACAGCCAACAGAGCCACACTCCCACTCCCTGTCAGCTGTTCTTCTTCCTCCTCAGATTCAGACTCCGACAGCGGTATGACAATTATTATGGTAGCCATGGTCTCATGAGTTGTCTCCTCTCTCTAAGTAGATAAAGTTCTTTCACACTAAACGTCTGTGGCATTACTACCACCCTTTCCAAAAAGAGGTCATCAGCTTGGGAAGCAGCTTTTTTTGCTAAAGTATAGCCACAAACAAGGCCTCCCACTCAGTTATATGTAAAAGAGCACCTTTGGCTCCCTGGAGATTTTCTCAGATGACATCCACTGGTCTTCCTACCTTGGGGTCATTGTTACTGTAATATCTGAAATCTAGAGAGAAACATCTACAAGTGAGAGACTTTTACAGGATTGGATCTGGGTCAGTCATTGAGACCAGAGGTTTTGTCTTCTGAGCTTTCAGACTCATAGTGGAACCCATTTTCAGGGAGCTTCTCTTTAGCAGTTTGTGCTATTCTGGGCGTGGCATTTATAGTGTCTGTTGTAAGTGGCTTTTTAGATGTTGATTGGGGTGTGTTGATGCCTGGCTTTTAAGTCATTTGCTTGTGTTGCCCAGCCCTTGCCTTCTAAGTACTGGTGGTAAGTACTGAGTAGGCTGGTGGTAAATCAGCACTCCTGTTGATTGACAAGAGGGGCCTGTTTCTCAAGATTCAATCACTTCCCTGTCTGTTTTTGTGCCTGCTCATACAGCAATCTTAGGAATTGCAAAATTGAATGTGTGACCTCGAGAGAGACTTTTAGCCACAGTAATATAGGCAGAGTCTGCCCTCTCATCATTTTTTTTTTTTTGATTGAGGAATGTTTTATTACAGGCATGCTTGGCATTTAGAAACATCAGCTAGAACCTCTGTCTCTTCTCTACCCATTAACCTTTGCACATTTGGTGCCCCAATGGTTCAGGTAGTTTGGACTCATGAATAATCAAAGAACACTCACCCACCCACCCCTAACAATGAGATGCCCAAACAGTCCTAATTCAGAAAAATATGAATGTATATAATTGTAGAAAGAAATGATGGCTGGCTGCTTAAAATGAGAAATTGACAGGAAGAAAAGGTTAATTCTGTAGAGGCAATAGCAAGTCCATGTGCAATGACCCAAAGCAAGAAACCTTCAGTATAGTTTCCAATAAATAGAGCAGTTGTTCTATGGCTCCAGTTGAGAGGCGGATTTTCAGATTATGATAACAGTCTTTGAAGTCGTTTCAGGCCAGTGCATGACCCTAATAAGAAAGGGAAATGAGGATAGAAAGATTGCCTTGTCAGGGAGATAAAATACAGATCTGAAAGTAATATCGTTGTGGGTGGATTTGATTTACAGCCAATCCCAGTGTGCTTTCTTCTCAGCTAAGCTTCATAATTCCTAGAAAACATGTCAGTAGGTGAAGAAAATCATTAGAAGGCAGAGTTTCATGTTCCTTTACAGTCAGGTCTCAAAAAAGTGAAATACATATACTGTGTTTAGTATGAAAGGGGAGGTATTGACTTTCTTTTGGATAATAACTTTTAATTAATGAAAGATTCATCTACATATCATTATGGAAAGATAGCACTGGTTTCAACATTTTGTGTGTGCATTTGTATCCCTATATTTCACAATTTCATCAAGAGAAGACTGCAAATAGAAAATCCCAACACCAAGTTCCGAGTCATGGCAATCCAGCCTCTTATTTTCCCATATCTTATCCTACAGAATTCTGAATCCAAATTGCCAGTCAAAACCACTGTGGTTTTTGAATCCCCCAATTTCGGTTAAGAACATACTTGAAAGTGAAGATTCAAACCTGATGGTGGGATTTCAGAAATAGCTCTGTGTTTTGGAAGCTTATCAAATTGAGATTCTGTTGTTGACATGTGGTAAGGATGCAATGATTTGTGAGAACCATTTTCCTCAGATGGACTTTGGTTTGGTTTAGTTATTTTTATATCCCAACTGAAGAAGTTATATCATAAAAAGAGAGCTAGTTAGGTGTAGTTGTTTAGGCACCAGTTTAGTAACCAGGAAACCATGAGTTATGTTCCCACCTTAATCATGAAAGCTAGCTGCATGACCTTGGACCAGTCACTCTTTCTCAGCCTTAAGAAGGAAGAAATGGCAAATCTCTTCTGAAAATGTTACTAAGAAAACTGCAGGGGCTAGTCCAAGCAGTCACCAGAAATCAAGACAAATTTGAAAGGAGAGAAAAGAAAAGAACATTCTGTTGTTTGGTTTGAGCTCAGTTAGAGAAAAACCCATTCCTAATAACCCATAGGTATGTGTTTTGCAAGGGTGGAGGAAAGTTAACCCTTCCTCACAATGGCATTGGTTATCTACAAATAGCCTTCCAAGCTTCATTACAATCTTTATTCTCCCATAATGCTAGGCAATGATAAAAACAGAAATTTATTTTTGTAACATTTAAAGAGGGACACCACTCACTGGAAATGTTTGTTCTTCTTCTTATAGAACATTATTGTAACAATTTTCCAAGATTGTTTTTTCTTTTTCTGAATGGCTGGGTGTGGAAGGCTGTTTGTAGAACGAGAATAGGGAATGAATAAAGAATGAGGAATAGCCTTAGAATTGCTTAGGATATAGATTTATTTTAACACCGAAGTGCAAACAGCAAGACTGAAATTAAAATCACTGACCAGTTTTTATGAAACGAGAGACCTTCTCTTCTAATCTTTCTGAAAAGCTTTATTAAATTGGTATAGCAAAACTGTGCATATCATGACTCTTGAAGCAGTAATATTCTATGAGTATGCCTGTTCTACCCCTTCCCCATTTATTCTGGGAGATCATGGCATCTTTTGTATAAATGTTGTTTTTCAAGGTGATGGGTTTAAGTAACAACTGTGACATTAGCAACTGAAGGTCTTACAAAAATGAAAACAATTTCTCATATTCATGCACATACAGCGAGCCAATTCAAGATTCAACCTAAATTGCCTTTTGTGAGTAAAAATTCTTATTACTAGGACGGATGTGAAAATTTGAAGTAGATTGGTTATAATGATGGCTTTGTCTGTGCAGAGACTATTACAGTAGTCATGGTGATTCTTGTAACAGATTGCTCTTCCTTAATTGGGCTACTCCTTTTAAGCATATGACAGGAGGAGATAACTGGGTGCAGTGGCACATGGGTGACTCTTAACCCAGTCTTTGTCATTAGGATATTTGCTGGGATACAAAAATAGGGGAGCGCCTAAAGGAAAGACAAAATGTCCATGTCTGTATTTTTTTCATTGAAGCTCCCACAATTCCTTGCAATTGGCTGTGGGGAAAAATAATTTTAGATCTTTCAGTTCTAATGTGTTTTATAAATAAAGACACTTTCAAGTAATGCTCAGTTCCTCGTATCTGTAAGGACATGTCTATGTACATATCTACAGTCTTATCTATATTTCTATAGATATGCTGTAAATTTGTAGACAAAATTGAAGAGGTTTGCTATTGATTCCCACTCTAATCCTAGTGGTCTATTTAAATCTGATTTCTATTTATGTATTTTTTAAAATATACTACTGTTACCTGCTAATCTTTAGGAGCTTGCTGACCTTTCCTTTTTCCTAGTATTGTTCCCATTATCCAAATTCATATGCCCCCTTCTAATACCCTCCAGATGTGTTGGATCAAGTAGCAGAATGACATGCTGGCAGATAGTTGGTATTTTTAATCCCAACACATTTACATGAAGGAAGAGCAGCTTATTCTCTCTATCCTGTGCTATGTCATTCAGGAAGGAAGGATGAATTGAAGAATGACGAATTCCCGTTCTGGTATAATCATCAGCTGTTGCAATCAGTTTTAATATTAGATGTCTTTAAAATATACCAGAAGGCTAATAACCAAACTGACCCATCAGAATAATAGAATAATAGAGTTGGAAGGGATCTTGGAGCTCTTCTAGTCCAGCCCTCTGCTCAGGCAGGTTGTTGAATCTCTTTTAATGGTTGTTGAATCTCTTTTAAAAAATCTCTTCCAGTGTTGGAGCATTCATGACTTTTGGAGCATTTACAACTTCTGGAGGCAATTAATTGTTCTGTCAGGAAATTTCTCCTTAGTTCTAAGTTGCTTCTCTCTTTGATTAGTTTCCATCCATTGCTTCTTGTCCAGCTTTAAGGTGCTTCGGGTGCCCATTCTTTCATTCAGTTCCAGGTTTGTCATCAGCTGAATGATAGCCATAGTGCCTGAATTAAGAATGTATGGGCTACCAAATGGTTTTCATATGATGTTTTATTGCTTTTGTCCTACCAACCCAGATGTTCCACAATAGGAATAGGCCTTGGTGGAGTTTGCAATTCCATTTTCACTGCTTTTTTTCTGGATAAAACTCTTGCCAACATGATTCTTATCTCTGTATATATAGACACAGGCACAGGATCTGGATATATTTGCCAAGGGCTTCACTGCTACTCTATCAAGTGTTAGCCTGTGTGGTATTTCTTGAGTGCTGGTTCCTTTATTCTTTATCCTTTAGTCAACTCAAAAAAGCAGTATATATCCACCGTTTCCACAAAGCATGGTAAAATTATAAAGTCCAAGGCTGGTAGTTGTACTGTTGTAATTAATTTGGTCTTCATTATAATTAAAAATTTCACTGTATTCATTGCTAGAACTTGCAAATTATTCACATTTGCATGTTCAGCTTTCATATCCTAGTTTTCTGAGCAAAATTTCAGAAGTGGTTTATTGTTACCTTCATCTTAGGGAGAGTAATTGGCCCAAATTCAAACACCTGGGTTCTATGCCTAAGGCAGGACTAGAACACAGATTTCTCTGACATAAAGTAGTGCCTTAATCACTGGTCCAAACTGTTTCCATCTTCAGTTATATGGCTTGATTTGCAGAAGTGTAATACAACAGCATTGTGGCTGAGTGGTTCTCAGTGTGATTTAGGATAGACCAATGTTAATAAAAAGGCACCCGTTCAGCAAATATATGATATTTCAAAGTATGGTGGAGCAAATTAAATTTCTTTTTATTCAGGATCATGAATGCTTGCCAATTAATAATGTTCAAATAAATACAACCTAACTGGAAATCATTTGTCTGCCATGTAATCAAAGTTCAAATAGACAATATAATGGATATTTACTGAAAATGAATACAGTCCCATCTTTGTAGGAAGTGCCTTTGTGGGTTTTCATGTTTGGGTGCTCAAAACATGTTTTTAGATACACCTTATACTAAATCAAGGCATTACTCTTCCTAGCCCAATTCTTATACCATTTTCTCCAAGCAAGAGTTCTCCACATGGATTGCCCTCGGAAGTTGTGGGAGTGCCATCACTTGAGACTTTCAAGAAGAGATTGGACTGCCATTTGTCAGAAATGGTGTAGTGTCTCCAGCTTGGGCGGGGAGTTGGACTAGATCAGGGGTCGCCAACCTTTTGGACCTCAGGAACCACCAAACGCATAATTTTAGATTCTGGGGACCACTAACTGGTTCTGTGGGTGTGGCCTAATTTGTGGGTGTGGCTTGGTGGTCATGTGACTGGCTGGGCATGGCTTGTATGTAAATATTATAAATAGTTATTGAATATTGAATTTTTTATTTTAAAAAACAGCAACTTTTCTCCAAAATCAAGCAAAGCAGGTAGATTGAGTTGCTCACAGAATCATTCAGTGATCTATCTGCCATCGGCTAGCTCAGTCTGTCAAATTTGCTTGCCGTGAGTCCGCACTGAATTTGCTTGCAAGCAAACCTTCAGTCCTAAGGGAGGTTCGGCTGTGCTTAGCTAGAAAGCAAGAAATCCAACCATTTTCTGCTTCCTAGCTAATCTAAATCTCCCAGCACAGCAGAACATATGATGGTTGGAAAAAGGAAAAATAGCAACTTAGCAGACAAGTTTGCCAGGTAAGGAGTGAGTGGGTAGGGAGGGTTCCCACGGGTCATGTGGGCTGAGCAGCCTTGTGTTTCTGCGCAGCCTGGATTAATTGCTTTGGGGGGAGTGCTCTGGGGGTGAGATTTATCTGCAGCCCACAAAAATTTTCTCGTGGCCCACCGGTTGGCGACCACTGGACTAGATGACCTATAAGGTCCCTTCCAACTCTGATTATCTGTTATCTAATTGAACTATAACTTCTATCATTGTTAGCCATTGTGGTTGGCCAGCTGCTCTACATTTACTAGTAATGCTCTCCATTATTTGAGAGAATGGCAAAGTATTTCCAGCCATGCCATATAGTGTTTTGCATACTATTATGTGTTCTACAACCGAGTCAAAACAGGAGTAGTATTTCAGCAGCAATGGTAATGGGACAGAAGTAATATATACATATGCAGTAACAAGAGTCTACCTACCTATTCACACATCCTTTTGAATAGTTGTCCTTATTCAGATCTACCTAGAAACTGGAGAATGCCTAATTTTGCAGAAAGTCAGACACACCTAAACTCAAGGAAGCTCTGTAAATATAACCTGTATAATATAACCTCTATAATATTGGCCTGTAAAATGAGTACTGCAGCCATCTTCTCACTCTTCTCTATCTTGGTACTCTTGAAATTTGTCGAAATAGCTGCCCAGAATTGCCAGGTTGGAGACACAATTTTTTTGTTTTTTTCCCCTCAGCGGAATGTGGAGATGGCGTTCTTAGTTGAGTTCTGTTATGGTTAATTGAAAGCTTGCAAATTGTCTCCCTTAAGACCTGAAGGAAGTCTCCATGTCAGTTACATAACTGTGATGAAACACAGTTTTGTCTGCCTCATTCACACCCTTTCTGTTCAGAAACCATTTTCGCCTTCTTGTTTCCGTCTTGGACATAAAGACAGTTAGCCCTCTGAGTCTTCCTGTTGCTGCCTGACCTTGGACTGGGATTATTCAGGCTTCTGCCCTATCTTGTCTGCATATCATCAAATCCAGGAAATGACTGCAAAGTTATGGTCCAGGTGCAGAAATGAGAAGATCCTTCAATTATGATATACTGGCTGTGACTGTTTCATCTGCAACTGAACCAAAACTAGGGAGGCATATAGATATTCATGTTGGAAATTATATGTAAAGGAGACAAACTCTGCCATCCCTAGGTTACTGGCATAGAACAAAATCTGAAGGAGTTATCAGGCCAAATTTAGACAAGTTCTATAAACTGATTACACTAACTAAACCTTAGGTAGAGTCCCTCTGTTAATCATCTTTCAGACCATGTGATTGATTAAAGCTTCTGCATAGTATAAAATGATACCTTTGCTGTTTCAATTAAATTGATTAACAGCCTTCAGCCTCTGTCTATATGGTTGCTGTCCATAATACGTTCCTGCTTGCTTTAGACCGGTATCCCATGAGCTACCCTGCTGGAAGAATATACTCTTCACATATAGTTTTGATACTTTTCCCTCATAGGAATATCTCCCTGCCACAGTGAAACAGTGGTGGGGGGCGGAGAGGCTTTCTAATGGCCTTATAAAATTTAGTATTTGTTGATGAATTGCTTAAGTCAATGATATGTTCATAATAGTAATAATATTAACATTGTTGATATTTTTATTGCCATTAATATTGATCAGGTTTTCCATTTGTTTTAAATATTTATTAAATGATAGAAGTAGTAATGGCTCATGTTATACTTCGTGTTATTAGAGAACAAACATCTTTTGGAGACAATGAGCAAAAGAACCGGCTGAGTTTCTAACCATGTTACATTTTGACTGGCTGTCTGGATATTTATGGTAAATTTGCTGTATTGATGAGTGTTCTGACTTACACATGTAGTTTGGTGCCCCCCAGGTACTCCCTTGTACCACGTCTGGTTAGATAAGAAGACGTTATCCAGTAATAAGCATTGGGGTATTCTATCTTAATGATATTTGTGAATACCTGTGCAATTTGTCTGTATTGTTCATTATTTTCTGCACCATATTTTTCCAACCTGTTTAGGGGGTTGTTTTGAATTAGTCACCTCACTGATGATCCTTGACACATTGTGAAAGATTCAGAGTCATACTTGAGCAGAGTTTCTCCACCTTCACAACATTAAGATGTGTAGACTTCAATTTCCAGAATTCTCCAGCCAACATAACTGGTTGAGGAACTTTGGGAGCCGAAGTCCACACATCTTAAAGTTGCTAATGTGAAGAAACAATTTTCTAGTGTGTGTGTGAAACGGCAATAATTAGTTGAAATAATGAGGTGTCATTCTTCTTAAATAGCACAAAACAAATAGGAAACTGGCATCCTGTAAAGCAATTAGGACTAGAAAATTTGGATAAACTATTTTTCTGAGACCTTGGATTAGGGGTGTGTGTGTATATGAGAGAGAGAGAGAGAGAGAGAGAGAGAGAGAGATTTGAGCTATATCATCAGTGAATGGGAAAATGAACTTGGTTATTTATAGTAGCTTCCCTTGCCAGTCTTGATGAGGATATGGCTTCCTCCTTCATGATTTTTGATTAAGGTATTATTTGTTCCCTGTTTATCTGGTGTTGTTTCTTCATTAGGGTGCGTATTGCTAGGGAAGTTATGCTTTGGGCTGTTTATTTCTTTCCTTGACTTCTAGTTATATCTTTTAAGTGATATATACTTTTGTGTAGCAAGGCACTTTTTAATGAAATATGAATATCAGGTATGTTGGAAGATGTTGTGTAGGTGGTCTGTTTTCTCCATGGCACACACATAAACCATCAAAATCCTTCCAAAGCATCTTAAGCAGTCTCAGAGGCTCAGTAACCAAAGAAGAAGAAAACGGGAGTAGTCTACAACATACAGTGTAAGAACTGCTAACAGCCAAAATGTAGGATAGACAAGTAGAAGATGGGCAGAACACATCCACACTGACAGAAGATGTAATGAAAATTCCTTAGTCTCTCAACATGAAGACAAGTTCAACCACAATTTCAATTGAATTAATATTTTAGTTCAAGCCAAATCCAAAAATGCTAGGGAGTTGCTGGAAGCTTGGCATTCTGACAGATCAGCCATCAACAAACAGATAAATCCCATCTACACACCATTTAAAAAATATAACTAAAACAATAAGCAAACTACACCCACCCATGCACTGATGATAATACCTAGCCTAGTAACAAAATGTCTGCAGGAGCACAATTACTTGATGGGCTCCAGATGTATTGAGATGACAATTCCCGGAATTCTAGCAACATGATCTATGCAGTTATAGAAAGTTCGCACCCACCCCTCTTAGAAGAATGAAAGATTTTAGGAAATATTAAAAAGGCAGAATATTATACCTCCCTGAAAGAGAAAAGGAGAAACATGCTCTTGGAAAGCAGCCCCAACTTTATTAATAGCCCCAGAAAGACTGGGCCATCCTATCTACAAAACAAAAGGCTTTCAGCTCCAAGGTGATAGGATTAGCCCTCGCTCAAGATCCAAATCAGGAAAAAGCCATTAAGCCATAATAGGAATTGCCCAACACCTATTCAGAACACAAGCCTCTTCATTACATCACCCAGCACAATTCAACCAAGCTTATCTCAGACAGACTCCTAGGATTTGCACATGACCCTTACAGCAGCCAGTAGGATACCTGTCCTTGCCACAGGAACAAGAAGCTCAAGTTCAAAGCCCAAGAAAGGGTATAAATAACACTCATTTTCCACTCCAGGTATCCAGCTGCACCAGGATCATGTGCTTAATGGTTCTGCTCCATTAAGCTATCCTTCTAAGCAGCCTCCATGTTTCCAGTGTCTTTCTCCCCACTTGGAACTGAACCCAGATGGACATTTCTTCCAACACAGTCCTTGGTGCTATTGGGAGGGTTTCTTGGTTTGGGAAGTCAATGTAATGGTTTCCTTTTTAAAAAGTTGACAAATTAATTCATTTGCCAAATGGATTCTTAACAGCTGCCGCATGCCTCTTTGGTTTTAGTGGGAAAGCACTTTTGATACTTCTCTCTGTTTTTAGAAGGAATTCCCCTCTCCAAATGCCATGTCCCCTTGGGCATTCTGCTTTCTTAACAGCCTTCCCTGGATTTCATTGGCAAACGGATGGCATTCCTTGGCTTAAACAGTAGGCGTTAAGTTTCATGATAGTTGTGGAAGCCTCTTTCTTATGGCAGGCTTCTTCAGTCAGCCAAACCAAGTTTTGGCAGGGAACAAGCAAGGTTAATGCATGCTAGTAAATGAGGCCAGAAATGTAACAGAGATTGGCAGCTATAAACACATAGGTTCCCTGTGGTTGCTTTGGAAAATAAAAATTACAGCATGGAGACTAATGTTTGCAAGTAAATCAGCCTGCTTCCCTCTCCATGAATTATTGGACAGATTTATTTTTGGATGGGTGGGCGAGAGACATATAAGAACATATTGTTTGGCTTTATCAAGGTTTCACATTTTTTAAGGCAGGCTTCCCCAGCATGGTGCCCCCCAGGTACCTTAAATGTAACTCCAGACTTGGATGGCTTCTGAAGGAAATTGGCTAAAGAAAGTCTGCCTTAAAGAGAAGGCTGAGAATCTACCTCAGCACTAGAATCAAGATGGAGTTTTTAATATTTACTTCATGATTCCTTCTGTGGCAGGTAAATGCTCTGAATGTTCGGTCTGGAAATGCTTTGGCTCTTAAGGGTGTTACCAGCCTGGAAGGAAGGGGAAGAGTGCATGTTGGTGCATAGAAAGTCCCTGGTTCAGTCCTTTGGCATAAAATACTAGTAAGTTGGTCTAACGGAGTAGATGGCTGCTTCCTCAGTTGGGAAGGATTCAGTGGTTCCAGCTGATCAATCAGGCAGTTGATCCTAGACATCCTGTGATTTTCTCATAGCACATGTTGTGCTATGAGACTTTTGAGTATCTTGACAACATGGAGGACAAAAGGTTGCCTTCTTTTCTATGGTCAGTAAAAGCTGTGTGGACAAGTTGGTGCTACTGGAACAAAAGTTTGGGCTAGATAGGTAATCCTTGACTTACGGCCACAATTAGGCTCAAAATTTATGTTATTAACTGAGACATTTGTTAAGTGAGTTTTGCCCCATATACAACCTTTCCTGCCACCATTGTTAAGTGAGCCATTGTAGTTGCTAAATTAGTAACATGGTTGTTAAGTGAATCTGTCTTCTTCAATGACTTTATCAGAAGGTTGCAAAAGGTGAATATACAACCCCAGGACATTGCAACCGTCAAAATTGTAGCCAAGCATAATTTTGATAATTAAGAGCCTCGGTGGCACAGTGGTTAGAGTACAATACTGCAGGCTACTTCTGCTGCCTGCCGGCTGACTGCAGTTTGGCAGTTCAAATCCCACCAGGCTCAAGGTTGACTCAGCCTTCCATCCTTCCAAGGTTGGTAAAACGAGGACCCAAAGTGTTGTGGGCAATATGTTGACTCTGTAAAACCGCTTAGAGAGGGCTGTAAAGCAGTATATAAATTTAAGTGCTATTGCTATCAATATCATGTGACCATCGGAATGCTGCAACAGTCATAAGTGTGAAAACGGCCTTTGCAGTGCTGTTGTAACTTTGAACTATCACTAAATGAACTGTTGTAAGTTGAGGACTGCCTGTACTTGTTACTTTTAGCAGCAAGAGTGCCAACTACATTGCTCTTCTTGTCTTGTGGACAGAGGGAGGAAGCTCAGGATGGATGAATCCATTCAGTCCTCCACCTGATTTCATTTCCTGTTTCTTTTCCAATAGACACTGTTCTCTGATAACAAAGCATAGACAGCCATTGTTAAGCTCCGTCCTTGAGGTCTTTTATTTTTAAGATTTGCATTTCTGTGTGGTAGGCTTCCCTCAGGTTTCTCTCATCCTCTTTTTAATACCCCTGTTCTTAGAAGGGATTTAAGGTTATTTTACAAGATTCCTAATCCTAGTCATTCAAACTTTTCTTAGCTCAAAGAGGCAAAAATGATCACTGTGAATTTATCATTTATAGCACCAGGACAATTTTACTCATTTAATCCTTTTGCAAATCCTGAGCCATGTGCCCCATGCCTATTTAGTCTGCATTTGGATTTAAATTAAAGCTCTTTGACTTAGAATTTCAGTCCTGACACAGAGCATCAGGTGGAGAAAGCGTTTTTGCGGGGAAAAGATAAACCCCTTAAGCAGGCTCAGTTACAAAACCAGTAGTAATTGCAGAGAAGATAGAAATGGGGACAAGGAAAAATTCTCACTGTTTTGAACAAAAATGTACACACACACCCCACCAAAGCCAGGGATGTATCTTTTTGTGGTTGCAGCTTTTAAAACCAATATGTTGAATGGCTGTAGAGAATACAAAACATTGTTAATAAAATGCCATTACCAGGGAAAGCAAAATATGACCCCTTTTGTCTTTTTATTGAGGGATTGGCACTCATTCTAAACCAAACCAAAGCAAATGAATGAAGCCTATCGAAAACATTTTTTTTTTTCATTTAACACCTCTGTAAAATTATTATATATCACAACTTCCGGTTGATGACATTTATTACTATGTCCAAAAAATGGGATCAGCTTATAAAAATAATTTCTTCAGTCTACGGAGTGACATTTAGCCATGTGGAGTAAGGTACTTTGTATTTTATAGTTATTGCATATAAGCAGCAAACAAACAAATATTCTAACACTATTCTTTCATTTGCTTATTTCAGGACCAAGAAGAAAATAAAGGGGCCACGAGTTGGCCTGAATTTTACATTGATCAGCTTAACTCCATGGCTGCTGTAAGTGGATTTATCTATTGTCTAAAAAGAGAAGATCTGAGAATTAAGAGCACAGCTCTAAGTTTTGGTTGCCACGATGTAAAAAAGAGGTTGAGACTCTAGAAAGAGTGCAGAGAAGAGCAGCCAAGATGATTAGGGGACTGGAGGCTAAAACATATACAGAACAGTTGCTGGAACTGGGTATGTCTAGTCTGATGAAAAGAAGGACTAACCGTGACATGATATTAGGGTTCCAATATCTCTGGGGCTGCCACAAAGAAGAGGGGGTCAAGCTATTCTCCAAAATACCTGAGGGCAGGACAAGAAGCAATGGGTGGAAACTAATCAAGGAGAGAAGCAACTTAGAACTAAGGAGAAATTTCCTGACAGAACAATTAATCAGTGGAACAACTTGCCTCCAGAAGTTGTAAATGCTCCAATGCTGGAAGTTTTTAAGAAGAGATTGGATAACCATTTGTCTGAAGTGATGTAGGGTTTCCTGCCTAAGCAGGGGGTTGGACAAGAAGACCTCAAGCTCCTTTCCAACTCTGTTATTCTATTATTCTGATGGGTCAGTTTGGTCATTAGCTTTCTGGTACATTTTAAAGGCATTTAATATTAAAACTGATTGCAACAGCTGATGTTTATGCCAGTACTGGACAGGAATTTGTCATTCTTCAACCCATCCTTCCTTCCTAAATGTCATAGCACAGGATAGAGAGAATAAGCTGCTCTTCCTTCATGTAAATGTGTTGGGATTAAAAATATCAACAATCTCTGCCAGCATGTCATTCTGCAAGTTGTTCCAACACATCTGGAGGGTATTAGGAGGGAGTGTATAAATTTGGACAAGAACAATAGTAGGAAAAAGGACCATTTGTCTGAAGTGGTGTAGGGTTTCCTGTCTAAGCAGGGGGTTGGACTAGAAGATCTCAAAGATCCCTTCCAACTCTGTTGTTCTATTCTATTCTATTCTATTCTATTCTATTCTATGTAAAGGCATTTTTAAATCTTAATTTTAAAGAATTGATAAATATGCATTATTTTACAATATTTATTATTCATATTTTGGGGGGAAAGATCATAAACCATGTATTGGCACTGAAGCATTGCTTACAGCAGACTTTTGATCTTCAGCTGCTATAAACATGATTTCAAGGTTGCATAGCAATTCAGAAGGGTTAGAAATGTGTTTATTTTTAAAGTGTGCAGTACAATTCTTCAAAAGCAAAAATGCCCACGGTATGCTTTTGTTGAGCCACTAATTTGTAACTCATTAAGTTCATTCATTAACTTGTATGCACCAACTCTGTTGCAATATTTTTGCTGTGTTTTGTGTAAAGTAGCCCTTTGATCTCTTCATAAGTCTTCTGACATATATTGTGCTATTGAGAAAAATCAATCTGCATATATAAGGCCTTTCCTACACTGAACGGTGCAGGGGGACATTAGCTTTGGCTTGGGATAATTATCATGAGAAGCCAAAAGTGTTTAAACAAAAAAAAGATGAAGGTTGTGTTGAAAAGTTCAAGATCGATTTACCCTCCAGTTGTCTGAGCAGCAAAAGACCGGTTATGTTTGTAAATGGGAGGGAGAACTAGGAAGCATTTGTTTCTGCAGACATTTCTAATGACTTTAGTAAGAGTTCCTTGATTAGAAAGACTCACATTAACTTTAAGGAAGCTAATTTACTTACTATTGAACTTTATCCAGTCATGCAGTAGAAGTGAGCGCTTAATAAAGCTCCTGGAATTTTTATAGAGGGCTGCAGGGGTCTTCTTTCTGAATACAATCTATTCAGCAGTTGTGAATTTCATATTGTAGTTATGTTGTGGATAAGTGTGTAGGTATTTCTCCATGGTAAAGTCAAGCATTTTGGAGATAATTGGAAATTTATGTTTCTCAGATATGAGTGATATTGTGTTTGAATAATTATGCACCTTGAAAATATTCAGTGTGTCACTGTTGCTCTCTAAAGTTGTAATTAAAGAAAATCTTCCCCTATTGAATTTTACCAATATGTTGCTGGCATAAAAGAATGACATCATTGGTTAAATAGGAGCAGGGTGGCTTGAACAGTTAGGACACTGGGTTGGAGGTTAGCAAGCTCGCATTTGAGACCCAAGATGGGGTGGGATTGAGGTCCCGTCTTTTGCTCCAGCTCATGCTAAAGATATGAAAAGAGGCCCCAACTGGACATCCCCAGGGCAATGGTGATGTCACTGGCTGATCCTTTCAACCCAGAAGCACATGTGCAGCATTGGTTTAATACTTCTGTGGGACAGCTTCTTCTTTTAATGTCTCAATGACTGTCCAACAGCATCACCAACTCAGAAACAGTTTTAATGGAAATAAGAATAAAGTATGCGTATATTTTAAATTTTATCATCATCAAATGGTTGAAACATCTCTCTTGCTAGCATTTTAAAACTAAATCGAGTCCACTAAATCTAGTACTGCATCAGGAAGAATAAACTGGAAAGCTGAGCTTGCCATTCATTTGGGCAAAACCAGACCCACAATTCTAGAATGGGACAATATTGCTCAATGAATAAAGAAAGTCTGTGACTCATCCCCAACATCTTCTTTTTGGAACTTTTTTTGGGGGGATAAAGATTAGTTGCTCACAAGAGAACACCTGCCATGAAAAAAATCAACTATAAAATGATGATCAAAGTTAAATATCATATAACTTATCTAACAGGGGACTCTACTTATCCTGATGCAAAGCCCTGCCAAAGGGGCTTCTGATAGCCATTCTGGAGGTTAGAAGAACCATTTTTAATTTATTTTGTTTTACAGAAATAAAGAAATTAGAATATGAAAAGGAAAAACAGAAATGAAATATTAAAATGTTTCTACTAAACCTGCGGTATTTGTAGAGAGATATTTCATGCCCTTTGTCACGTCCTGACTGTTTCTTTCTGCATAGTCCAGGCATTTAAGAGGGAGCTATTGACAGGAATATTGTGAAGAGGTGTTTTTGGGTGGCCTGGGTGCTGTATTGTGGTGGTAATTGGGTTCATCATGACCATTTTGCTATTGCATTGTCACTGACTGACAATCACTTTCAGCACAAATTTATTTGTGGAATTTCATACAGTAGGTAAATAATCTATATTGAACAGGTGGCTGCTACTAATTTTCTCAATTTGTGCAGAGAAAGTCATTGATCGCTTTGGAAAAAGAAGATGAAGAGGAACGAAACAAAACTATAGAGAGTTTGAAAACAGCACTAAGGACCAAACCTATGAGGCAAGTTGCTTTTTGGTTATTCTTGCTGCTAGATTACTAAATGCTTTACCTTTTTGCTATTTAGTATAAAGATTCTTAAAGTAATCTCTTTGTTGTAATACCAATCAGTTTTAATTTGCTGAGATTTGTTAACTCAATGCCTCTTAATACCCAGGTGTTTAAAATCACAAGCCCTATTTTCCCAATAAAATTTTTCCCCACTGTCTGAAATCTAGGGATGTTGCAATCAATCAAATTACAGAGCCATCTTTTCAGCATTATAGAAATCATACTGCTTGTCTTGTGAATGCTATCCTGCCGGTGATAGGAATGCTTTGAATTTAGACAGTATTCTTAAATTTTAAATATGTCTTTTTACAGCATTAAATTCTATCCACAGACATGTGGAGAAGGTTCATGGTAATTTTTTTTCCATTGCAGGACACACTGCAATGTTTATTCTACATTGAATAATCATCTTTCTTATACATACCTGCTACATCTTGTAGTAGTGATTAGGCTGTTTAGACTTTGAATACCCAGTCTTGGGAAGTGTGAAATGTTCAGAGATTTTTCTGTCCCAAACTAAAAAAAGAGTCAAGTCAGTCTTGAAGTTGATTTCTTTCTTTTTCTAACAATATCCCCAGAACGTACCAGAATATAGCAATAGCGCCTAGACTTATATACTGCTTCACAGTGCTTTGCAGCCCTCTCTAAGCAGTTTACAGAGTCAGCATTTTGCCCCCCAACAATATGGGTCCTCATTTTACCAACCGTGGAAGGATAGATGGCTGAGTCAACCTTGAACCGGTAAGGATCGAACCCCTGGCAGTCAGCAGAATTAGCCTACAATGCTGCATTCTAACCACTGTACCACTACAGCTATCATATCTATTTATGGGTAATGAAATCTATTATCCTTACCCTGAGATATTATTTTAATCTGTTCCTTAGGAATCCTCTGAAGTTAAACTAAATTTAGACTAAGAAAGTGACCTTTCCTTCTTTGTGTTTTTTCCTTCTTTCCTGATAGGTTTGTAACTCGATTCATTGATCTGGATGGCCTGTCATGCATTCTGAACTTCCTGAAGAGCATGGACTATGAGACTTCAGAATCTCGAATCCATACCTCCCTCATTGGGTGCATCAAAGCCCTGATGAACAACTCTCTTGGGAGAGCCCATGTCCTGGCCCACTCAGAGAGTATTAATGTAATTGCTCAGAGTCTGAGCACTGAAAACATTAAGACTAAGGTGGCGGTGCTGGAAATCATGGGCGCTGTGTGCCTGGTTCCTGGGGGTCACAAAAAGGTACTAGAGGCCATGGTGCACTACCAAAAATATGCCAGTGAACGGACTCGCTTTCAGGTATGGAGCATCGAATTACTCCTCAAATGGAATGATTATTTTTAATATTCCACAGCATAAACATTTGTTTTTGTCCCACAACAATGGTGCAATTGCCCCTGAGGTCATTTAATTTCAAACGTTACCACAGTCATGTCAAGAAAAAAACACAGTGATATGCTCACCCAATCTTTAGGCCTCCCTGGATTACAAAAATTGTCCAACACGAAGGGGGTGGAAAACCCTCTCCTTAGGCATTAACAAGGCTACCCCTCTCTCAAGAATAAATTCACCACCAATGGACCCAACGACAGATCATCTCCTGGGAGGACTTAGCCATATAGGAGTAACCTTGGTCTACCACACAGCCCCAGGAATCTTCTCTGTAAAAATTATTCTCCTTTTCTCCAGATATTGCTTTCCTGTACATTGAAGCAATAAGAGGCAAATCTAGGTTACACAAACACAATTAAACATTACTTCTTTTAATAACTTTAAGTATCTTTAAACATTATCTCCAACAATGATCAACATCAGAGTTCTATGCCCTGAATCTAATACCAAATGCATAATATTATATTTTATTGATAAGATTTGCCTAGAAGCAGTACACAATCATGTAAAGTTACCTTAAGTTACCCATGGCTTTTCTATGTAGATATGTGTATGAGAATGTAAGAAAAAGTGAGAAGGAGGGAAATACACCTTTTATCTTTAACATAAAAATAATTAAAATGAATCTAATTTTCATTTAAAGTGTTTTCCTCTCCTGGTGTTTAGTACCACTATGACACTGATCAAAAATATTCTGATTTTCAGACATTAATAAATGATTTGGATAGAAGTACGGGACGATACCGAGATGAAGTAAGCCTCAAGACCGCCATTATGTCTTTTATCAATGCTGTTCTCAGCCAAGGGGCTGGAGTGGTAAGTTCAGAAGCTAGAAATGAGAGTTTTGTAACATTGATTGGAATACTATCATGTTTGAACAAGGATTCTAGAAACAATAGCTAAAACACTTAAATGATATCTTACATCATATTGACAGCCATAACACTTACAGTAAGTTTAGATAGAGATGGGCTACAGGTACTCCTAGTTTCATAGGATGATGGAATGATTTCTCATTAATTAGTAGAGTTTAGGTCGCCTTGATACCAGAGAAAGGTAGAGGAACTGTACACAAAAGAATTGTCTTGCACATTCATATCCAAGAAGATAACCAGAATATTTTGGAAGAGATTTTTCCCCATCTCAATTTCTTGAAAGGACAGAACAAAAACACAAGTTACCCTTTAAGAAAAGGATGCTTCCCATGCATCTTTCTGTCCTACTTAAAACACAAACACTCATCTTCTTATCCTGCTCCAAATAGAAATATTCAAGATCATAATATCAGACAGAGCAATTTGTACATCTCCTTATGATGGATATTCTGAAAAAGTAGTAATCCCTGTGAATCTGGAATCTCTTATGAACATAATTTGCCTACTCCTGAATTATGATTCCTTTAATATGTGAAGGACTTAGTCTCCAGCTATGTTGGATAATTCTCACAGTTTTTCTTAAACTATTGGTGACGTTGGAGACCAATAGGAATTAATATCCATGATATCTAGAGAGGAATAAATTTGTATTCCCCTAATATAAACCCACTTCTTATTATTGTTGCCCTCATGTTGTTTAGAAAAGAAATATAAGCTATATTTCTGCTCCCCTTGCTTGCTTTGTTTTTGACAAGTCAGTAGAATCAATACAAAGTAAACCTGATAGAAAGATCAAAGACGATGAGCCACATTTTCTTGCCTGCCTGAATCTTGATGTCTTTGATACTTTTTCATCTATCTTGTCTTATCCCACTGTAACTGTAATTTCCAGAAACTTTCCTAATGCACCTATTTTATGACTGTCACTACAGAGGGTAGTTCACCTGTTGCATGGGTACCCATTTTCCTTTTTTTACATCTTTGATAAAAGAAAGGCACTGCTGAGGGTCAGTGGTTAAGACGGGCTTATCAGCTGGAAAGCCAAGAGCCCAGGTTGAAGACCCAAACACTATGTATCAGGAATGGCTCCTCTAACACACCTCAGCTCCAGCTAACTTAGCAATTTGAAAGTAGGCAATTGCAAGTAGATAAATAGGTACCACTTCAGCAGGAAGGTTACTGCGTTTTGTATTTTCATGACACATCATGACAGAAGCCTCTCTCAGGCTCCCTCAGCTGATAATCCGAGATGAGTACTGCCCCCTTAAGTCAGTCTCAACTGAACAAGGAAACTTTTAAGCCTTTAATGGTAAAACAAATGTGTTACCATTCTAACAAGAACAATTTTGAAAAATTGCCATCTTCTTTTCCTCTTTCCCAGGAAAGTCTGGACTTTAGACTCCACCTTAGATATGAATTCCTCATGCTTGGAATTCAGCCTGTAATTGACAAGTTAAGAGAACATGAAAATTCCACATTAGATAGGTAAGTATGTGATTTGTAATGTTGTTTAAAATGTCTTTTCTGCCTTCTTACTCATTCTGCCTAGATTTTATGTTAAAGGAAATTGATAGTACGTTTCTACCCATCCTAATGTAAGGAAATTGGTCTAAAATTTTGAATTTTTCCTAAGCTAGCTGGAATTCTATGACATTAAGCCAGGTTTTAATGCACAGGAACCTCTGAAGCTCCAGTAAATCTCGGACCTGAGTACTTGCCCTCCTTCTCTAACTGCTTCACAAGAAGAAAAATTCCTCCAAGCTTAATTTTATCTTTTTTCATTCCAGACTTATTGTGGTTTGTTACTAGCAAAACTATGCGGGCTTGGTTATTGGCCTGTTTTCCAATTGGCTGGATTTTGTTTAAATCATGATGCTTCATTAATGCTAACGATAACCAAATATCAAGAAGATGAAATTTACTTACCAACTGCAGTGTTTGTTTTACAACCACCACATTCATTTAACAAATGCCATTAAAAAGGTTGTAAAACTGAGCATGGTCACATGGTGCCTGCTTAAAAACTGGCACAACTCACGACCATAGTTCTGGGTTCCATTATAATGGTAGGTCAAAGACTAACTGTATGAACTCTCCTGAGTGAAAGGTTATTGAGTGCCCTGCCTCTTCTAAATGTAATGGGATGTTCTTGCCAAGTAATTAGCAAAATAACTTTAGTAAGGCATTGCCATAAACTGCCTCCTCTCCTCCCTCCAGGCATTTAGACTTTTTTGAAATGCTTCGAAATGAAGATGAGTTGGAATTTGCCAAAAGATTTGAATTGGTATGTATGTAGTACTATTTTGCTACATTTGGAATGAGTAAGAAAAATATTCTGGCCAAGAAAGGATCCTTGTTAAGAACTGAATCATATCTCAGCCATTTTACAGTTATCCTTGAACACTTGCCCAAAATGATTAAGTTACATTTTAATTATAACTTTCAGGAGATTGCTTTTCTTCCTCCCCAGTTCCATCTTTGCCCAACTTTCATATAAATGATTCACCCTGATCCTTCCTTTTTCATAGCTGTGGGCTCTTTTTCAGTAAGTAGCAAGATTTTTTTAAAAATTGAAACACTTCAAATTGTTGTATGTTCTGCTACTACTACATCAGAGAGAATCACTTTTTGGATCACACTGACCTCAAAGGTCTTGGATACGTGCAAAATCTTGTTAAGCATTGTCAAGCTCCTCTTTATAGATTGACATTTTGCCATTTTATTCATTCACTTTTACATTTCTAATTACACATTCACCTAGGTTTAGGAAAGTCCGTCTTGACTAAAAGTTGATTGGAAGCAAAAAGAATTTAGAGGTAGCAACTTTCTCTGGAGGAATGATTGTGTGTGAAAATACTAATCTTAACCTCAATTGTTTTGTCCCATCAAATAACCAAAGGTTCATATAGACACAAAAAGTGCAACCCAGATGTTTGAACTCACAAGAAAGAGATTGACTCATACAGAAGCTTACCCGCATTTTATGTCTATACTTCACCACTGCCTCCAAATGCCTTGTGAGTACAAAAAGTAACTTTAGGATTCTATTGATATTCATATAGATATTTTGGCATTGAAGTACATGGTTTGAAATGCAGACTTCCTCTGAATGGTTAGAAATGCTATAAGTTTAATACATCCTGTTATATGGGTATGTTATTATAGTGAATGTGATTTTATCGTACAGAAGCAAAGAGATTTTCAGTCTATGCGTCTTACTAATTTTGAAGTACGTATGGATGGATGGACAGGTGGAGAAAGAGAGAGAGAAAGAGAGAGAGAGAGAGAGATTGAAAGAGAGAACATGTTAAAAGGTGATTCAATTGATTTATTGATTGATTGGCAGGACAATAAAACTAGGAATTAAATCTTTTAGGGTAACTTTGGCTCAAACCAGAAAGAACTTTCCAGTCTTCATTACATTGCTGGAGACTTGAGAAGGACAGATTGGATTTACATCATTTAAAAAAAGCAAATGCTACCAAATGTTAAAAATGAAGGAAAAGATCTGTAAGTGCAAAGGAATCTGCTGTGTGAAAGATTTTCCAAGTTACATCCAGTTCTTCAGGATTAGTTTGTGTTTTCATAAAATCCCATGAAATTGGAAATGGTCACTTAAACCAATAAGTCAATTTCTCTACTTAGTGCATGACTCCCAGTTAACATATCCTTCATATATAGCCATCATGCTTCTTTTCTTAAAAAAAAGTAGTTCATACAATTACTGATCAAATTTTGTATGTCAATTATCTATTTGGACACTTTCCTCTTAATGCCATGCATTTCCAAAGTGCCCATTACATCTTCTCAGCTGTGCTCAGAAATGTCTTGACGAAACACAGCTTTCAAGAAAGACATATCACATTCAGCTTAGAAATGTTTATTGCACGATTTACCCAATATTTCTTGGTTACTCAATTACACAGATGGACGCAAGCATTTCCCTCCACTGGAAAGGCATTCTGAAGGATAAGATTGTGACCTTCTTTCAAAAGCACTCGCTTAAGGGCTGCACCCTGACATGTTTTACATAGTTGATGTGGTATAACTTTCAAAGATTTGTTGCACATCAAATATGAAGAAGTATCTGTTGCAAATGTCAACTTTGTCCTTTCTCATAATGATTTCTTTCCATCTGTGCTCCCTTTGAAAATGGCTGAACAATTCTATTTTTGCCAGGCATATCTGAGTACAGTAATCTCTTGCAATGCATTCCTATCTTTTAGCATTGAGCCTTGTCCTTCTCTTTCTTACAGGATTTATTTGAATAATTTTGAACTGCACTGTTAATATGTAGGAATTATATTTGTTAACTGTTGCTCCAGTGTCTTTTCTAACAACAATTATATTCAAAAATGCAAGAGTACCTACTGTGTATAGTTTGTTTTGTAAAAGATTATCAGGGCATTTTAACAATTTCAGAACATCAAATGTATATGATGTCCATCATATTCGTCAACACTGTTTTGCTATGCTTACAATCAAATTTGCCTCTTGTAAAAGCATGAAAATGTGACATTGTACAAATTCTATCCTTTATTTATGCACTATTCTGAACACTCTCCAATATTTATATTGATATAAATTAAGGCATGACTCATAAGTACAAAGGGGTGAATTTGTGTAATTCACTCTTGCATGCTTTTATTCATAATTCTGCAGGTGCATTATTCATCAATTTCTTAGGGGAGGGGGACTTGCAAGTTATGACTTAAATTGTATAATATATTATTTTCTCTCAATACTGCACGTGGTTTTTATAAATACACTTTGATACTGGGACACAGTATTCAAAACATTTAAAATAAGATATTCATGTTCCTAGATATAGAGTCATCCCAAAAGACCATGTTACACTTCCCAAATTTTTCTTCAAATGTTAAGGCTTCTTTGTTTATAACAAAAATCACATCATTTGCAACTGGCTATTTCTGTTAACATCATTCAATATTTGGTCACTCTGGAAAAAAGGATATCAATTCAGACTGTTACAGAAGCAAAGTGACTATTTCATTAACCCCAGTTTTAGTAGCATGCATTACATAAAATATCCAGTTTATTAGGAAGAAAGAGCATATCTTAGGTGGAGCTCTGATATATAATGATCAAGGTTAGGAAAAGCAGTTTTCCACTGACATCCCTCCACCAGAACCTATATCAACTATTTCACCACTAAAGCTCAATTTCCTGTAAAAAGCATCTGGGAATGGAGATTTGTTTAAACTGACATATGCTTCCTTTTCCCACCCTTCACATTCATTCACAGTTTTTGTCTCCCTTTTAGATAAGAGAAACGGCAACACCGTCCAGTACTGGTTACTGCTGGATCGTATTATACAACAAATAGTTATTCAAAATGATAAAGGGCAGGACCCTGACTCAACACCCCTGGAGAACTTTAATATCAAAAATGTTGTCCGAATGTAAGGGCCTTCCTTTATTTCTGCAGTAAATGGTTTTTTAAAAAATCTTGCATGTCTTCTCTCCCTCATATGAATGGGTTGCTTGTTTATTTTGATTTTTTAAAATTAGCCCTATACAAATCTGCACAATTTGGAAATAGTGACAGAACTTATTATTTGGAATGCGAAAAAGGATTTATGTTTAACCAAGTTATCAATATTGCCAATAACTTCACCCCCAAAAGAAATATTTTGTTGTATATTCCATAGCATTGTAGTACTCTGAGCAAAGGCTAGAGAATATTTTACCTCATAAATTGTATGTAAAAAGAACTTCTCCTTGAAAAAACTGTCAATATTCAATAAGCATTCATTAATGTCATTTGAAGTAGCAATATGTAAACAAAATGATTTGTCACTGTAAACTGTTTTATGGTAAGAAAACTGAATAAATTTAAATACTAATTGAACAAATACAGATGCAATTTTCTAGATTTTCCATAGACTTCATCTTGGCGTCTTGGTGCTTATATTGATTAGAAATTAATTTCTCTCTCCCCACAGGTTGGTTAATGAAAATGAAGTGAAACAATGGAAAGAACAAGCAGAAAAAATGAGAAAAGGTAAATGATAAAAATAGAGAACCCCACTTTAACAGGACTTCAGCTTGTTAGGACTGAGGGAAAAAAACTCTACTGGAGTTTTTGTAGATTCAGTGGCAATTGATGGTGGCAACAGGAGCTCACTCAGATTAAGACAACTTCTGGAATGCCATGGTTGTACAGGGAAGTGACATCACAGAAGTGAAAAGGTTACAGCCTGAAATCAGTTTAGATGCGTGGGCGGAGAATACAGCGGTTAGCTGATTAATTTGAATTTTAAACACTATAAGAAAATCTTACAATATCTAAACCTGCAGTAGCTAAAAGAAAGAAGGGGAGAGCTTCTGACATAAGATTTTCCACACTTTATTAATTTATAAATTGGTACAGTTTGGCTTTTAACCAGATAATTTGCTATATACAGTTATCAACTTACATTTTCTTTCACAGAAACATTTTTATGTGAATAGAAGTGGAAGTGATCAATCTGGTTTGGTTTTTTTTTTTTAATAAAAGGACTATATTTTAGGAACAGTAGTATAGTATTTCACTATAGACTTGTGTTTGTGTTTTCCTATGAATGGTTCTTTTCCATGGAGGACAATAAAATTTGCATGCCTAATAGAGGAAAGGAAATACAGTGAAGCTTCAACGAATCCGGCCTATCTTAGATTTTAGATGCAGTGAACAAAATAGCCCTTCAAAATCGTGAACAAGTACACTGCAGCCAAAGTGGTCTGGATGATTTGCATAAATTAATGTTATATACATCAACTTATGTAATTTGCATCCATTTTAATAATTATGAAAATAACATAAATTTGGTCAGTTTGGACTAATTGATAATTAGATATAAATCCAATTATTGCTGATTTGCTTTACTTAATTTTTATTTGTAATTCAACAACTATCTCATAAGACAACCCATTCCACTGTAGAATAACTTTTGGTATTGGGATATTTTTTCCTAATATCCATGCTAAATCTACTTGTAATTAATTTAAATTAATTTATTTGTAAGTTAAATCCATTGATTATTTTCCTACTATATATATGTCCTTGAACTATTCTGTCAAGTTTTCTATCTGACAGCCATATTATGACTGAAGTGGTAAATATATAACTAAATAAATAAGGCGGTTGTCCTCTATCTTTCGGCAGCCCTCTCTTGTCCAGGCTATAGATATGCAGTGTTTTCAGCTATTTCTCCTAAGTTTTTCCTCCCAAGCCCCTTATCATCTTGGTTGCTGTCCTCTGGATTTATTTTTAAAATGAGGCACAGAACTTGACACTATATTGTAGTTGCAGTCTGACTAGCTTAGAATTCAGAGGAATTTAAGGATAATTAACAAGCTATTTTCCATAATGAAATTTCTTTATGCATTTAATGGGATAGAAAGGAATTTGACAATAAGTGTTTTTTTCAGTCTTACGTTAATATTTTAAGGATATTGGATCAGACTATTTCAATACCTAGCACAGTTTGGTTCTCTTGAATTTTTATCTGTTCCACACAGAGGATTTTCCAGTCCCTTGCTACTTGATTTTTTTATGTATATATGAAAATTCTGGATTGAGCATGTGCAATCACCTTCTGATAATAGAATTATTTTTATTCTCCAAGATTTTAATCAAAATTAGTCCACTGAAAGTATGTTAAGGGACTATTCTGCATTGTGTAGTAGGTTTGTTAATACTTTCCCTATCCAAATTGGGATAATTTACTAAATTAGCTTTATTGAACTTAGGTGATGGGGACAGGGACATATTTCAGTATGGTTATTACTCAGTTTATTGTTCCTTCAGTAGCCAAGATTCACAATTCAAGGGGAACATCATCCATGTTCATGGCATGCCAAGCAACAGTTCAAAAGCATTAACTGCAAATGTTTAAATATTTCCCTCCCTGTTTAAAAGAACACCATGAGCTACAGCAGAAGTTGGAAAAGAAAGAGCGAGAGTGTGATGCCAAGACCCAAGAGAAGGAGGAGATGATGCAGACCTTGAATAAGATGAAGGAGAAGCTTGAAAAAGAACTCTCTGAGCATAAACAAGTGAAACAGCAAGTGGCAGACCTCACGGCACAGATCCATGAGCTTAGTAGGGTGAGGTCAAGCCCCAGACGCTCCTTTGCAGTTGGGGGGAAAGATGCCATTTGTTTACATTACAACTATGTGTCTGTTAGAAGTAATGCTGTCAGTCAAAAGGCCCGGGTAAATGAGAAAAAGAATGGGTTACTGGAAAGGTTATTGAAACTGCCATATATTTTAGGGGTAAAAGCCAAGAGTTCTTCATCTGCTCAGAGAGAGGGGGGCTTTCCCATGGTGCATATAATCAGCTTTTATAACCAGAGCAGGCAAATAGTTTTACTGTTGAGAGCTGAATTCTTGTAGGAATAATGTCCTTTTTGGCGGAGGAGAAGTTCTACAGCTAAGCTGCTTCTCCACACAATCTCACAAATCTGGTCTCATCTTTCCACATTATGAATCCCAGACCTGCTTCTTAAATGAAATATATGAACCAGTTAAGGAGGTCCAAGCAGCCCTCTGGAAATGTGAACCATTAATACAGAATAGCATCCTCTGCAGTATTTTTACCTATTTGTTCATTTCCCCTCCACTTCATCTCGAAGCAGCCTTCTCACTACACAATTTGTAGAACATTTTCTGCAAAAAAAGAGAAGGCCGGGAGAGCAATAAGCACCAGGAGGAGGAGCAAGAGAAACAGCTCCTCTCGGATTAGCCAAAACGGGGGCTTCAAACTTTTTCAGGCCTCAGAATCCATTAGTTTTTTTAAAAATTCCCAGAATTTTTAATCAAGAGGCAGAGCTTTTGCGAACCATGGGCATGCCCTGTCTTTTCTGCTGACCATTAGAAAAATTGCTATGACATTCCTAGCTAGTATTCAAATGAAGTCCCCTTCCCACTTTAATCTTCTCATGGAACCCCTCAGGTTCTTGCAGAACCCCAGAAGTTCATGGAACACAGTTTGGTAAACCCTGGGCTGGGAACGTCCCTTTTTTTCCTTTCCTTTTCCTTTTGGTGAAATGTTCTGTAATCCAAGTACAGATCGGAGAGACTGTAACATTTCCATATTATTGTTTGTTTGCAATTGTATAGATGGCTGAGTTATATATTGTAAATAATATCATCATGGGTAACCTAAATGCCATCTCGCTTGGCTTGATCTTTGAGTTTGCCTGCAATTCCTAGAGCAATTATGTCTTCTCATTTTATTTCAGAGAGCAATATGTGCTCCCGTCCCTGGAGGACCCCCTCTGCCACCCGGTGCCCCTGGGGGGCCCTTACCTACAGGGTCTCTAGGATCTTTCCTGCCAGTTCTTCCTCCACCCCCTCCTCCTGGAGCAATCCTGCCACCCCCTCCCCCTCCACCCCCTCCTCCTGGGGGCCCACCCCCTCCCCCAGGGCCCCCACCAATTGGAGGCCTGACTCCAGCTCCAGGAGCTCCTTTGGGATCAGCACTCAAGAGGAAAAACGTCCCCCAACCCACACATGCCCTCAAGTCCTTCAACTGGTCCAAATTGCCTGAGGTAAGGAATCTGTTCTCCTCTGCTCTTTAGGATCGATGAATAGGATTGATTGTAGAGCAGGAATACACAGTGTTCAGGCTAGGAACCCCACTCACCTTCAGATGGCCCACATTGCAACACAGAATATGACTACATTAAAAAAAAAAAGGATTTATATATGAATGGGGCAGGACAAAAAAAATTCAAAACAAATAAACACTGATGTTACTATCTTTATTAAACAGTTTTCTGTAATGCAATGCAAGTACTTCTAATATTCCAAAGGTGGTTTTCCAAAAAGGCAACTTCCTTTCTTTCCAGAAAGACTTCCTTTCTTCGTTTTTTTCTTAAGAGCTTTTTCTTGGAAGAGAAGCAAAACTTTTTCAAGGAAAAAAACAAGAAAGTCCAGTTGCCTTTTGGAAAAGTACCTTTGGGTAAATCATGACCTGGATGATTGAGAATCTCTATAAACCAACACTTTAAATTATGGCTATTCTCTCACACCAAAATTGATTCCCATGTTTAAAAAAAATTAAGAAAAGTGCAAGTGAAAAAAATTATTGGAACTGGGTTTCCATTATTTTGGCCTTGGATTTCCATTATCAATTATCAATTGGCATTATCAATTCCCATCTGACTATACATTGCCTTTATTTTGTTGTTGTTCAGTTGCCTTTATTTTGTTGTTGTTGTTGTTGTTCAGTTGCTAAGTGAGAAAGCATTGCCGTTATTTTGTTGTTGTTATTCAGTTGCTAAGTCATGTCTGACCCTTTGCACTCCATGGACCGTAGCACGCCACGTCCCCCTACCCTCCACTTTCATTGCCTTTGTATCCTTGTATAAATTTTTCCAGTAACAGTTCCTGTTCAAAAACTTAATGCTGGATGAGGGGACCTTCTTCAACTGATCCAACTAAGATGCTTTTATGTCCTTAATTATCCTGGAAGTGCTGCATTTTTTTACAATTTAGAATGATTTCATTTGCTTGGCATGTACATCAAAGTGATTTCACATTTATTTTTAATAAGTACAAGAAATGTGTGTATGGGCCTTATTTATAGAATATGGTTTCATTTGAATGTAGTGAAGTATAGTGCCATATGTTGAAAAAGTTGTAATGATGGTTCTTCCATCTTCTTCCTACCATCCTAGAACAAGTTGGAAGGCACTGTGTGGACTAGCATTGATGATGCCAAGGTATTTAAAGTGCTAGACCTTGAAGACCTTGAAAGAACATTCTCTGCTTACCAAAGGCAACAGGTAATGTGTGTGTTTCCAAGATCTGCAGGTAACCCAACTCTCTATTAGACAGTAATTGGAATGCATTATTTTATTATTAATGTGGGGTTTTTTAATGCAACATGGCTGAATGCACCTCAGCATGTTTCCACGTTGGTGACTTTCATTGATGGTTCATAATCTGATGATGGAGGTGTTGCCAATTGTATGTGACAGTTGGCCCTAACCTTAATATTCAAGCATGCTTGAGTAATGTTGACAAAATTGCTGGGAATGGCTAAAAACTAACATCGATGTGCATGTGAATTCCCCCCTCCCCATTATTTGAAGTCTTTGTTCTGCAGGGATAATTTTATTTCTGTAATTAAGAAATCAGTGTTTTTCAGCCACTTCTAATGCGGTGACTTTAAAATCATGTTGATAATATGTATGAAAGAGATGAGAGTAATATCAATATTGCCCTTCTTTTAAAAAAAGAATTGGTGATACATTTTTTTGTAGTTTGAATTCTTCAACATGGTGGCTGACCAAATTGCAGTTTGAAGAAAGTATGATTGATTCCAACCACCCGACTTCATCCAATGTCCCAGTTTTGCTTTTCTAATCCAGTCCTCTTCCTTGCCTTGCACATTTTATTTTCTTTCATGAATTTGGCAGGTTTCCAAATCTTTTCATATATTTCAGACATAGAAACCGCAACTTTCAATTTTACATATATGAGTATGTTTTTAATGTTATTGTAGGAAGTCAACAATTTTTCCCTTTTACTTTCACATAGTCAGAGGAAAGCATGATTCTTGTTACTATAGGAGACTACTTCTCGCAGTCCTGAAAATTATTAATATTCTTCTTAAAAGGACATTCAGGGCTCATGCCTGCTTTACATAGCATGTAGGCTTATGTACACAATAAGGTAACCTGATAAGCTCAAAAAAGCATGACATCAAGAGTCTATATTTGACCAGAGCTTCTACAGTGTTTATGGGGGCCTGTCCTCAGGATTTATTTTCTATATGGGTAGTCCTTGACTTACAATTTCAATTGAACCCAGAATTTTGGTTATAAGTTGTTGCGATCATAAACTGAATCATCATATAACTCGACTTGATTTTATGACTAGTCTTATGATAGTCATTAAACAAATTATGTGGGCCTAAGTTCACATCCAGCTTATTAAATGGGTAATTTTTTGCCAGAAAACGGCAAAACCAATCACAAATCACAATCATGTGACCATGAGATGTTGCAACCAGTCATAAATACAAGCCAGTTGCCAAGTTCCCAAAGTATGATCATGTGACAGCAAGAGTGGTGTGACAGTTGCAACTTTGAGGAGGAGTTGTAAGTAATTCTTTCTTTCCGAGGCTGTTGTTATTTTGAACAGTCTTTAAACAACTGGCTGTAAGTTGAGGACTACCTGTATAACATGTGAATTGGACCTCATGTGGCCAATTTGACAGGACATATTTCAAGTATTACTTCAGTCCATGTTTGCCTTATGAAATGCAGACCAAGTAATGTCTTTAACATTACTATACTGCTTGGTTGCTTCCTCAAAGCACATATTTATGTAAATTGACCCTTTTATTTATTGGCATGATCAACTGAAGATATTTTTTCCTAGAGTCCGATAAATAAGGAAAGCAAAAATTAGTTTTAATAAAAGACGGTAGAGTAAAGCAGGATCCGTTGAGGATATATATATATAAAATGTTAAAGGTAATTAGTGACAGCTAAAAAGACCAAAGGAGTATCTCTGAGATGCGGCTAGAGACTTCTGATTTGAATGGGGGTGGATTTGTTGGAGCCCTGACAATTAGTCTTGTCTAGACTCCTGGAATAATTTCTTGGTCTCCTGAAGGTTGAAAACTCAAGTACCAGGGAAGCAGAGCATCGACTCATAAACCTTTAGAAAATATTGATTTTATTTCTTCCTGTTATTAATTCAGGGAGTGATTATGTCAGTTTAAGGGCAAGGTCAATTGTCAAAAGTTATCTAGGGCTAAGCTCTACTTTTAGAGAAACTTTTGTTCTTAATCTCTGTCAATATTGATATTATGGATCTGAATTTGATTGGGTGCATGAATCAGAATTAAAACATTCCCCAGGTATGGCTATTTGATCTTTCCTTGAACACATTCAGCACAAGGAAGCCAAAATGTCATGCAATGAAGAAATTGAGGTGGCTATTTTACTGATTGATTGCTTTAGCACCAAATTCTAAACACTTTATTTGTGTAGTCACTTTAGCCTACTTAATTGGGTTGAGGGAATGGAAGATTAGGTACTGAAGTTTAGGGTTGCTGCACACATAAGCCAATTAAGTACACATAGACTCAGTCCGTGCTTGAGTTCATGATACTATATGTGTACAGGTAATCCTCAATTTATGCCCACAATTGGGACTATTGCAAAGTAAGGCAGTTCAGTGAATTGCACCCAATTTTGCAATCTTTTTCATTATGGTTGCTAAGTAAATCATAGCAGTTGCTAATCACACAGTCATTAAATGAATCTGACTTCCCCTGTTGACTTTGCTGGTCGGAAGCCACCTAGAAGGTCAAAAATGGAGATGACATGATTCCAGGATTCTGCAGCTGTCATAAATGCAAGCACCGGAATTTTGATCATCTGACTGTGGGGATGCTGCTATGGTCAAAAGTGTGAAGATCAGATGTAAGTCACTTTTTCCAGTGCTGTTGTAACTTTGAATGGTCACTATATGAATGTCTGTAAGTCAAGGACTATCTGCAATAGGAAGATCTAGGAAGCTCATCCTTACTAGCAATAGCAGTAGTACTTAGGTTTGTATACCACTTCATAGTGCTTTACAGGCCTACCCAAGTGGTTTACAGAATCAGCATATTGCCCCTAACTGGGTCCTCATTTTACTGATCTTGGAAGGATGGGAAGGCTGAGTCAACCTTGAGCCATTTAAAATCGAAATCCTGTAGAGAGCAGTGAGTTAGCCTGCAATACTACATTCTAATCACTGTGCCACCATGGCTCCTAATAAGCTAATAAGTATTAATAAATAATAATAATAATAAAGCTAATAAGTATTCTGGGAAATGGGCTCACTCATATTCAAGAAACCTGGAAATATATGATCAAGCAACTGATAACTTTCTCCATAGGCATAGAGATGTTCCTGTTTCTGAAACAGCCCTTCATTGTGTATCACATTGCAAAGAAACAGTAGTGATTTTATGAAATCTCCAGTGAATTTAGGCAGCACTGCAATTACCAGTTTGAAAGCTAATATGTTAGCTTGATTTGAAACCTTAGATTCCCTAGTAATTTAAACTGAAATACTTGTAAGGCAAAATCATGTTTTAAATATACACACATACAACAATAATTTCTGTAACAAATTAATATGTGAACGACTGTCCAATAAGAAGACAAACTTTTTTGCCCTCTTGCCTTTAGTTAAAATGTTTGGTGTTTGCTTTGGAATAACAGTGTAAATAAAATCTTGGAGCTACAGAAATATTTGGCTTTTTTATGCCATCAGCAAGCCTAGGTATTCTACCAAAGCAAACTATATTATTTCTTAACAATGGTTAAAAAAACAAGCCCTCAGAATCAGTGAGCCAACTTCACTTGCAGAAGATTTTCAGAGTCATTTGTCAGAAGAGGTCTGATCGATTCCCTGCTAAAGCACACACTATTAAAGGGAGAAGCAAGATTTTCAGGACAATTATACCTCAGTATTCAACTGCTTTTGTCAAATTTGATATTTGACGTGTTTCAAAGCAGAAATCTTGTCCCAGCACGTGTCTTTCTCCTGGTAGTTGATGTGCAAAGAAGAACTTGCTAATGTCAGCTGCCTCATCACTCGCTATGTCTTCTGGCTGAAATAGAGGGTCACATGATAAGTCACATGGTTTTCTTGGTACTTGTTGGTTGTAGTATTTTCACATGTTCCAGAATGAATTGCCAATGGGTACCAAGGTACCACTGTAAACCACTTATAGTTTCTGTTTTTTTCTGTGAAACAATATTATGAAAATAGATATCTGTTGTTGAAATGGAATTTTACTTTCTGCATTTCCCCTAGAACTGATGTGTGCCACTAGGATTTTTTTTACTATTAAACCAGAATGTACTTTCCTCATACTTGATGATTATCACTCATTAACAGAGTTTTTAAAAGGCAAATTTTGGAGATCTGGGTTGACTACTGTTCTTGGAATCAATACAGTGCCTTTGCTAAATGCTTTGGAAATACATAATGCTAGACTAAATTGTTTTGCCCTGATTCAATAGGCAATTCCTACGCTCTCATGCTCGGCAAGGTTTGGGAGGATTGCCAGAATTTCTATATTGTTGTTTTGATGGCGGCTGAATAGCAAAGGATGCAACCTTATTTCCATCCAGACCTTGCTAGATTTATTTTGATACTGTTGTTTAATCAGGTATTTTTCAAGCTTTTGCAAATAGCCCTAAAATTGTTGAAGCATGAGATAAGCATCTTTTAAGTAAATGTTAAATAATAGTGTATGACTCTTTTAGAGCAACATCTAGCAGATTGAACAAACTATGTTAATTAGATTGGATTGGGGTGGTTTTGATTTTCTGAGCTAGACACAGGTATGCTAAACACTTTTTCTTCATTTGTAAATATTTGTGCAGGAAAGATTGGCATAAATTTTGGAAAAGGATTGTTTTACTTTGGAGAAACACATTTTTGCATGCTTATTTGCAAAAGTGGGAAAAAAATATTGATAGTAGTCTTGGTGCTGCCAATTGTCTACTAACATGTCTCCAAACTACACGAGGGAAGGAAAGAACAGCTTGGGCTTTCTCTAAAATAAAATAAGTGTATAAATTTAACAGCTATTGACTTAGTTGATTTAATTTTACACATATACAGTATATAAACATAGTATGTGAGGTGTAGTGTAGTGTTTGGTGTAGTGATTAGGGCCTTGAAGCCAGGAGATGGTGAGTTTTAATCCCACTTTAAGCACAAAGCCAGCTGGGTGACCTTGGGCCAGTCACTTTCTCTCAGCCCT